TTAAGAATTGATTTTTTAAGATACTAATGAAAAGTTAATTTTTTATAAGTTTTTTAATACCAGTGTGAATGGTTTACCTATTATTAGATTGGAGAGGGATTACCCTAAAAGTGCATACAAATTACCATGGGGACACCTTGATCATTAAATTTAAAAAATTAAATTAAATAAAACGAATACTTGTAGGGCTCAACAAGTGACTCAATTAGTGAAGAAATTAAGGCTCCAATTCAAAAGCTTTTATTAGAAAAGTAATGGGGAAAAGTCAGAAAATTGTTAAATGTCTTACATTAGGGAAATTAGGAAAAACTTTTTTCTTTAAAAATATGAGAAGAAAAGTTATTTATTGCAAATTGTATCAGGATAGGTAAAAATTAAAAGATGAATTTTATCTTTTATTGAGTATATATATAGCATTAAAGTGTAAAATTACTACAATAACCTTAAATTTTCCCTAATTTCAAATACCAAACACTTAAGGGCGTGTTTGGTTAATGTCCAGTCCCCTATGCAAGAAATTATAGGGTACTTTGGTGTTTGCACACTTCAAAGCTATATAAAATGCAAAGAGTAAATATGATATTTTTAATCTTTATTTTCTCAAACACAATTCCTCATAGACTACTGGCAAATGAGTTATTTAAGTGAGTTTTAAATTGAATCACTTTGAGTTTCAGGTTTATTAGATTATGTTGTTTTGAGTTTCAAATTAGAGACATGTACCCATGACCTACTCACGTAGTCATGGATGGATATAAATTTTTTAAAATTTAAAATCAAAATAAAAAATTTTCAATATTTTTGCTATTTTCCTGTAAAAACCTAATATGAATAAATCAATTTTCTTAAAATATATTAAAATAAAATTAAGGGATTAATGTTAGAGTGGATTATTCATTAAAAGTACGGTCTACTTTATGGATTTACTAAAATATGCTTAATAAAATAATATAAAAATAATTTTTTAAAAAGTATTTTAATAAATTTATAAGTTAAACTGTACTTTTAACGTATAGTCTAACTTATAAAATACTTTTCATAAAATTGAATATAATAATCTAAGACCCTCTCCATCCCAATTTTTTACTTTAGATTTGTTCCTAATTAATTCTCATTTTTTTATTTTTTAATGTAAACAAATATTTTTTCTACTTCAACTCTATCATTATCTATTTACTTTAACTAAGCATCCTATCACAAAACCTATTTTTTTTATCTTTTATTTCTTTTGATGGTTAATATGAGTAAATATATAAATTGTTTCTAAATTTTTAATTTGTTAAAACAGATGGATAAATGAGAACTATTTAAAATTTTTTATTTTTATTTCCTATTAAAATTTTAAAATTAAAGGTATATTTAATAAATATTTTAAATTTAAAACTAATTAATTAATATTGATTGAGTCATTTCTGCTTGAACTTGATTTAACTTAACCTTCAGGTCTATTTGATTGGGTGATTTCAGATTCCAGATTGAAATTATGGACTCATGACTCAGCTCAAAACAAGTGAACTGGGTCAAGTCTTCAAGTTGAGTCTAGTTCTACTAGATTTAATTTTTGTGTAATATTTTCTTCCCACACATTTTAAAAAGAAAAGGTCTTCTCCAACTTCTCTAATGTTAACCCCACTTTATAACCTACAACTAACTTTCTTAATATCAATTTTTTACCAGACAAGAAAAAGTTAATGAGCCAACAAAAGTTTAACAAAACTTTTTAATTAAAATTGATCAATCTTTTTTAATAATACCTTTGAATTTTGCTAAAAATAAATTTAGAGATTAAAAATGCATATATATATATGAATATGAATAGATGTAATAGGTTAATTGATAGACAAACAAAAAAATGTATTTTTTAAAGTTTGAAAGAGAAAAAAAAATGCATAAAATTATTAAGAGATACAAAATTATGTAAAATCTTAAAATTAAGGACAAAATTGACATTTAAGCAAAAATTTTCTCCAAACTCAGCGATAAGGCTATTATTTGGTGGGAAGACGAATTTTTCTTCACCGATTTTTTAGTGAATACCACGTAATTTCCTTCACCGAATTGAGCTGACAAACATTCAATTGTTGTGGAAAATGATTTTTGTATAATTTTTTTATTTTATTTTTTTATATAATTTG